AACTTTTTAAATGTTGCTACCAGAAAATTCAAAATTACATACATGACTCTTGTCTTAGGCTAGGTTCTTTAGAGGAGCAAAACCAGTGAAGCAAGTATATATATATATATATAAAGAGAGAGAGAGAGAGATTTACTTCAAGGAAGTGGCTCATGCAGTTGTGGAGGCTGGCAAGTCCCAAATCCATTGGTTAGACATAAGGCTGGAGACTTCTCTGGACTCATGTGGTTGCAGGGGCTGAAGAACCCAAAATCTGCAGGTCCGATGGCATTCTGCTGGCTCATGTCTCAAGAACTGGAGGTTAGAGGATGAGGAGTCGGATGCAGGATCCAGAGAGAGCAAGCTTTGCCAGAACATCCATATACATATTGGATGCAGGCCACACCCCTCAGGAAATGTCCCTTTCTTCAGACAATTGGCTCTGATTGGCTTGATTGATCTGGTTGGCTGATCTGATCAGCTCTTAATCTGATTGGCTGCTCACAACAGATAACAAAATGGATGATTGCAAATTATTTTCCAAAACACTGACAATCATGGCTTAGCCAGGTTGACACATAACCTTAACCATTGCACTCCACATCTTGTCAACTAGCACCTGTGCATATCTTAAACCATACATAATCTCTAAATAAAGACAATTATAAAGTCATACTTGCACCTAACATGATACAACTAACATGTACAACCGAAAACACGTTAGGCCCATTGACATCTTGTATTTTATAATAAGTAATGGAATAAGGGAGGGAAGAAAACAAAGATATTTGCTATATGTTCTTGTTGTTAAGTGCCATCGAAAGGTTCTGATTTATAGCGACCCTATGTACAACAAAACAAAACACTGCCCAGTCCTGTGCCATTCTCAGAATTGTTGCGATGTTTGAGCCCGTTGTTGCAGCCACTGTGTCAATCCATCTTCCTGAGTGTCTTCCTCTTTGACTCGCTACCAAGCATGATGTGTTCTCCAGGGACTGGTCGCTTATGATAACAAGTAAAAAGTACTTGAGACAGTCTCACCATCCTCGCATCTAAGGAGAATTCTGGCTGTACTTCTTCCAAGACAGACTTGTTTGTTCTGGCAATATTCTTCACCAAAACCATAATTCAAAGGCATGGATTCTTCTATTTCCCTTGTTCGTTATCCAGCTTTCACATGCATATGAAGTGATTGAAAATACCATGGCTTGGGTCAAGCGCACCTAAGTCTTCAAAGTGACATCTCTGCTTTTTGACACTTTAAAGAGGTCTTTTGCAGCAGATTTGCCCAACGCAATGCGTCGTTTGATTTCCTGAATGATGCTTCCTGGGTGCTGATCGTGGATCCAAGTAAAATGAAATCCTTGACAATTTCAGTTTTCTCCATTTATCATGATGTTGCTTATTGGTCCAGTTGTGAAGATTTTTGTTTTCTTTATGTTGAACTGTAATCCATACTGAAGTCTTTGATCTTCATCAGTAAGTACTTCAAGTCCTCTTCACTTTCAATGATCAAGGTTGTGTCATCTGCATATCGCAGGTTATTAATGAATCTTCCTCCGGTCCTGATGCCATATTCTTCATATAGTCCAGCTTCTTGGATTATTTGCTCAGTATACGGAATGAAAGTATGGTGAAAGGATACAACTCTGATGCATATCTTTCTTAATTTAAACCATGCAGTATTCCCTTGTTCTGTTTGAACAACTGCCTCTTGGTCTATGTACAGGTTCCTCATGAGCAAAATTAAGTGTTCTGGAATTCCCATTCTTCACATTGTTATCCATAATTTGTTATGATCCACGTAGACGAATGCCTTTGCATAGTCAATAAAACACAAGTAAACATCTTTCTGGTATTCTCTACTTTCAGCCAAGATCCATCTGATATCACCAGTGATATCCCTTGTTCCACATCCTCTTCTGAATCCAACTTAAATTTCTGGCAGTTCCCTGTTGACGTATTGCTGCAACAGTTTTTGAATTATCTTCAGTAAAATTTTACTTGCGTGTCATATTAAAGTATTGTTTGATAATTTCCACACTCTATTGGATCACTTTTTTTTGAGATGGGGACAAATATGGATCTCTTCCAGTCAGTTGGCCAGATAGCTGTCTTCCAAATTTCTTTGGCATAGATGAATGAGCGCTTCCAACATTGCATCTGTTTGTTGGAACATCTCAACTGGTATTCCGTCAATTGCTGCAGCCTTGTTTTTTCACCAATGTGTTCAGTGCTGCTTGGACTTTGTCTTAGTCATCTAGGGATGCTATAACAGAAATACCACAAGTAGATGGCTTTAATAAAGAGACATTTATTCTCTCACAGTCTAGTAGAGTACAAGTCCAAATTCAGGGTATTGTCTCCAGGGGTGGGCTTTCTCTCTGTCAGCTCTGGAGGAAGGTCCTTGTCATCAATCTCCTGGTTGAAGAGCTTCTTAGGAGCAGGGAGCCCAGGTCCAAAGGATGCGCTGTGCTCCAAGTGCTGCTTTCTTGGTGATATGAGGTCCCCCTGTCTCTCTTCTCTCTCTTATTTCTCAAAAGAGATTGGCTTAAGACACTATCTAATCTTGTAGATCTCATCAATATAACTGCTGCTAATCCATCTCATTAACATAGTGATAGGATTTACTGCGCATGGGAAAAATGGTGGACGGTCACACAATACTGGGAATCATGGTCCAGCTAAATTGATGCATGTATTTTTGGGGACAGAATTCAATCCATGATAGACTTCTTCCTTCAATACCATCCATTCTTGATCATTTCTACCTTCTGAAATGGTTAAATGTCAACCAATTATTTTTGGTACATTGACTCTGTGTATTCCTTCATCTTCTTTTGATACTATTGGCATCATTCAATTTTTTGTCCATAGATCCTCCAAAATAGCAACTTGAGGCTTAAATTTTTTTCTTCAGTTCTTTCAGCTTAAGAAATGCTGAGCATGTTCTTCCCTTTTGTTTTTCTAACTCCAGGTCTTTGCACATTTCCTTATAATACTTTACTTTGTCTTCCAAGCTGTCCTTTTAAATCTTTTGTTCAGCTCTTTTAGTTCATCATTTCTCCCATTTGCTTTAGCTACTCTATGTTCAAGAGCAAGTTTCATAGTCTCTTCTGACATCCATTTTGGTCTTTTCATTCTTTTTAAGGACCTTTTGCTTTCTTCATGTATGATGTCCTTTATGTCATCCCATAACTCATCTGGTCTTCGGTCATTAGTTTTTGTCTTAGGCTGGATTCTCTAGAGAAGCAAAACCAGTAAAGTGTGTAAATATATACAGAGTGAGATTTGTATCAAGGAAACAGGTCAGGTGATTGTAGACACTAGATCATCTCAAGTCAACAGATCATGGTAGAGGCCTCTCCCAATTCACCAAGCTGCAGAAGCTGGCAAGCCCAAGATCAGCAGGTTGGAGAGCAGGTCTCCCAATCACAGGCTGTGAAGGTCAGTGAATTCCAAGATCAGCAGGCAAGACCGTGAGGTTTCTCCTGACTCATATAGCTGCAAGGTCTGGCGAACCCAAGATCGGCAGGTCAGAGAGTAGGGCTCCACTCACAGGCTGTGAAGATCGACGAATCCCAAATTCAGCAGATAATCTGACAGCTCAAGTCTCAAGAACTGGAGATGAGACGACAGGAGGCAGCTGCAAGATCCAGAGTGAGAAAAAGCCAAAACGTCTGCTTATATTCAGATGCAGGCCACACCCCCAAGGAAACTCCCTGTCATCTGATTGGCCACTCACAGTATATTCAATCATGGGAGTGATCACATATAAACACTGAGAATCATGGCCCAGCTAAGCTGACACACAATCTCAACCATCACAGTGTTCAATGTGTCAAATCTATTCTTGAGATGAACTCTAAATTCAGGTAGGATATACTCAAGGTCATACTTTGGCTCTCATGGAGTTGTTTTAATTTTCTTCACCTTCAACTTGAACTTCCACATGAGCAATTGACAGTGTTCCTCAGTTGGCCCCTGACCTTGTACTGACTGATGATATTGAGCTTCTCTATCGTCTCTTTCCACAGATGTAGTTGATTTGACTCCTGTGTGTTCCATCCAGTGAAGTCCATGTGTATAGTTGCAGTTTCTGTTGTTGAAAAAAGGTATTTGCAATGAATAAGTCATTGGCCTTGTAAAATTCTATCATGCGATCTCCAGTGTCATTTCTATCACCTAGGTCATATTTTCCATCTACTGATCCTTCTTCTTTGTTTCCAACTTTCACATTCCAACCACCAGTAATTATCAATGCATCTTAATTGCACATTTGATCAGTTTTAGACTGCCAAAAGTTGGTAAAAATCTTCAATGTCTTCATCTTTGGCATTAGTGGTTGGTATGTAAATTTGAATAATAGTCATATTAACTGATCTTTCTCATAGCAGTATGGATATCATCCTATCACTGAAGGCATTGTACTTCAGGATAGATCTTGAAACCTTTTTAATGTTGAATGCGATGCTTTTCCTCTTCAAGTCATCATTCCCGGCATAGTAGACCACATGATTTTCTGATTCAAAATGGACGATAGATTTCCATTTCAGCTCGCTAATGCTTAGGATATTGATCTTTATGCTTTCCATTTCATTTTTGATGACTTCTAGTTTTCCTAGATTCATACTTTGTACATTCCATGTTCCAATTATTAATGAATGTTTGCAGCTGTTTCTTCTCATTTTGAGTCATGCCACATCAGCAAGTGAAGGTCTCGAAAGCTTTACTCCATCCACGTCATAAAGGTTGACTCTACTTTGAGGAGGCAGTTCTTCCTCAGTTGCATTTTGAGTGCCTTCCAACCTGAGGGCTCATCAGACACTGTATCAGAGAGTG